CGTCTATGTTAGCAGACAAGAGTACGATCACTATCTCCCAGTGTGTTGATCGTATTAAGTGTCAGTTTAGAACTAGAGAAGGAAATAAAATTATGCATGAGATATCCTTCCTAGTTGAGAAGAATTTGCCTTTTTGATCTCATTCTGGGTATGGACTAGCACGAGGAAACCAACCCAGATACTGATTTCAAAAGCAAGATTGTGCAACTGAAGGATGCACAATCTAAAATAAAACCTATTAAGTTATATCATAAGTCTGACTCTGACTCTAGTTTGTCTTTTGTTGTATGAGTTATCCAGCTTTTCGTTCGATGGTTTCAAATAAGAAGTTGGAACAGGAAGTTATGATGGTGTTGGTAAAGAAAGTCGGTGAGTCTTCTTCTTCCTGCCCTCCAACTATTGAAAGACTTCTCTTTAAGTTTAAGGATCTGCTGACTGAACCTTCCGGAATCACGGAACGTGCTATTAAGCACACCATTGAAATCAGTCCGGGTAGTAAGATTCCCAAGGGTCCCTATCTACCGAATGCCTCCCAGTGAACTTGAGGAATTGAAGAAATAACTGCAGAACCTAACTGACAAGGGATTGATTCGCCCTAGCTCATCTCCCTATGGTACACCTGTCTTGTTTGTGCCCAAAAAGGAAGGTGAACTGCGTCTTTGTATTGACTATCGAGGGTTGAATGTCGTCACTGTCAAGAACGCTGAACCGCTTTCTCGCATTGACGACTTACTTGATCAACTGCAGGGTTGTAAGTATTTCAGTAAGATTGATCTAAAGTCTGGGTACCATCAGATCGAGGTGGAACCTGCGGATCAACATAAGACGGCATTCCGGACAAGGTATGACCATTACGAGTTCGTTGTAATGCCTTTCGGATTGACAAATGCCCCTGCGACGTTCCAACGATCAATGAATGAATTGTTTCGTCAATGGCTGGATCAATTCGTTATTGTTTATCTTGATGATATTCTCGTGTATAGTAAAACGTTAGAAGATCACGAGAAACATCTTCGTCTAGTGTTAAAGAAATTGCGAGAATGACTCTTTAAGATAAACCCAAAGAAGTCTGAGTTTGCTAAGTCCGAAGTCTTATACTTGGGACATATAGTGAACGAAGAAGACCTCAGACCAGAAAAAAAGAAAATATGAACAATTCGAGATTGACCACGATCTAAATTTGTAACTGAACTACGATCTTTCCTTGGTTTGGTAAGTTACTATAGAACGTTCGTCAGGAACTTCTCACTGATCGCCGCACCAATGAGAAGATTGTTAAAGAAAGAAACTATCTGGTTGTGGAACAAGGACTATGAGTCTTCCTTTAAGAAGATAAAGTATGTTTTGACTCACTATCCTGTTTTGAAAATTGTTGATCCATCACTTCTCTTCATTGTCACTACTGATGCCGATCAGTGTGGAATTGGCGCAGTCCTTCAACAGAACGACGACAATGGTTATAGACCAATTGAGTTTACGTCTGCACGATCGCCATCGGAAAAAGTTACCAACTCCACTTTTGAAAGGGAATTGTATGCCTTAGTCTGCGAACTGGAAACATGGAAACACTACGTGTTAGGGAGACACTTCACTATGTACTCAGACCACTCGACGCTAAAGTGGATAAAGACACAGCCTAAACTCTCTGATAAGTTAGTACGATGGTCTGCATTCATTGATACTTTTGATTTTGAGTTGACAACTATCAAAGGTAAGTCTAATGTGGTTGCAGATGCGTTGTCCAGACGATGTGATCTCTTTGGTGCTATTGTCTCTTATTTGGATGTTGGGAATGATTTAAAGATAAAATTCGTCAAGGATATGCTACTGACCCTATCTGGAAACCTATCATGGATATCCTTGCGAAAAACCCAACTTTACTTCCCAACTATCGAATAACCGATGGTTTGCTTTTCTTGTTAGACCAAACGGAACAGAGATTGTGTATTCCTCACAAGGAAGAACTTAAAAGTTTGTTGATTGGGGAATGTCACGACACAGAAGGACATTTTGGTTTCAAGAAAACGTACGCTGAGGTTAGAGAATGTTTCAAGTGGAAGGGATTGAAGGAAGATGTACTAACTTATGTTCGTACACGTCTGGTGTGTCAAAGAAACAAACTTTCACACGAGAATCCACTTGGTCTTCTGAAACCATTACCTATTCCTAGCGAACTAGGTGAGTCTATCTCAATTGATTTTATGAGCCTCACCAAAAGTCGGATTGACAATAGTCAAGTAATGGTTATTGTGGATCGTTTCTCTAAATATGTCATGTTTATTCCCTTACCCGCAGAAGCGCGAACAAAACTTGTCATACAAAAATTTCAGATGCGATGGATGACTGAGTATGGTTTTCCTTTCTCTATTGCATCTGATCGTGATGCCAAGTTCACAAGTATGCCATGGCAAAAGCTCCTGGAAGCATACGGTACAGGACTGACCATGTCGTCAGGGCGACACCTTGAAACGAATGGACAAAGTGAACAGATGAACCGTTTGTGTCAGCAACTTTTGCGTATGTATGTAAGACCCGATTAGATTGATTGGGATGAGAACTTACCCAAGATAGCAAGTGCATACAACAGTAGTGTTCATACCGCTACAGGGCGCACTCCTAGTGCACTACACAAGGGGTGGAAACCTAAGCGTCCCATTGATGTGTTAACACGGGACCGGTTTCTTAGGTTACCTCCAGGGACCCGGGAGTATGCAGTATTGTTTCAAGAATATATTAAGCAAGTAAAGAACAATTTGAAGAAAGCTCGGGACCAGATGATTGAACAAGCTAACAAGCATCACCGACCATCAACATTCAAGGAAGGCGATCTAGTCTGGGTCAAGTCCAAAGAGTTTTCGTTGGAAGAAGATGTGTCTCAGAAACTTCTGCCTGTCTATTTTGGACCCTGGGAAGTTCTCAAAGTAATTGGGGATGCAAAGGGACCATCTTAGCCTATTGATATTCCCCCTCACCTCAAAACGTATCCTGTCTTTCACGCGTCCAAACTGTTACCCTATGTAGAAGGCAATGAGTTCCCAAACAGACCATCTATGATTCCACCATTCATGAAAGGCAGATATGAAGTAGACAGAATCATAGAACATGAGGGGTCGGAACTCTAAGGTTCCGTTGTTTARAAAAAAAAAAAAAAAAAAAAAAGGAAAAAAGAATCATAAGCATCCAGTGCCTGAGTGCTTACTTTGCAGAGTCTGCACTATCCCCGAACCAATGGTTCAGCAGGAGATGCGACCCCCAAAGAAGGACCCCGTTCGATAACCTCTTCACAATCTGCAGCACGGTGCAGCAAGAGGACATCATCCACTCCCTGCTCACTTGCCTCAAACCAGATTGGATAGGCTTTGGCAGTGAGTGGCAAACACCTCGCTCCCGGGCACAGCAATCATTGCGCTCACAGGGTTCAGTGACCCTGCACACATAGAGCCATACCACAGCGAGCTGTTTATCAGGTTTCGGCCGATCAACCTCTGGGTCATATGGAAGAGGGGGTGTGAAGACACACTAGAAGAGTCCAGCAATCTGACAACCAGGTCTGGGACGAGCTCCTCCTCCTATTGGAAACAGAGTACTGGGTCGTCTGGAACAAGCGGAGACTGGAAATGCGACAGAACCCGGATAAGGCGCAAAAGCTTCTGGACAAGTTCCGTGTGTAGACCCTAGGCCGGGGGAAACCTCTGCTTCAAATGTTTCCTAGCAGGTAGCGAGGCAGACCTGCCACAGGCATCCTGTTTAGGCGGAAGGCGGGAGCCGGTGGGCAGCCTCACGTCACCTTAGTGTGACATACGGGATGAAGGCCCGGCCGCCCAGCCATAGCATCTCACGACTTCCAAGCCCGGGCAGAAACCCCCTCAGGGTATCCTGGGGAGCCAGCGCTGTGTAGCACTAAGGCCTGTGCCCTCGCACTGCGCAGCCAGGAATGCAGAGTGGGGGTTGGAGAACAGTTGAGCTCCGAGACTAGACTAATCTGTTCCTTCAGAACTTCCCACCTCACACAGCAGACACTGGAAGGTGGCAATATACCAGGGAAGCACAAAAGGACACGCACAGATCCAGAGGACCAGAGCCCCCCAGGGTTTAGGGTTTTAACAGGCAGAGCCCCCAGGGTTTAGCGTTTTAACAGCCAATCTGTTGAGGGCACACAGATCGATCACCCCGGGTTTTGCGAGAGGAGAACAGCAGCAATAGGAAACATAGAAATGCAAGCAAGAGGATGGGACAGGGAGCAGTGGCCCAGTATCCATGGGCTAACTTAGGCAGGGGTGAGGGGAGGTACGTACTTTCAGATTGGAAGTAATCAATGCTGCCCACTCGAGTCTCTCTACCATAAATGGGAGAAGCGTCGGAGTGTGTTGTACCTTGTACTCTGAATTGCCGGTGGAAGACGAACCGCTGTGACGCTCCCCAGAATGGACATGGAGCCTGAGCCATACGGCTTTGTTTTTGAGGGAATAAAAAGAAAAAGAGTAGGTCAAGTGGGGGCCGAGGGCACAGTACATCCTCCGAGGATGGAAATTATCAATGTCACATGCTCAGGTTCTGTCAGCTGAGAGAAGTGTCAGTATGGGTTCATCTTGTAAGGGACGATGCCCGGCTTCCAGCCATATAATCCAAATCTAACTCTGTGAAAAAAAAGAAGAAAAACACAGAAGGAAAAGGTCTTACAAGCAAGAAGATGCAGGTCCACAAAACATCTAGATGCAGTCTTGATTCTCCGTTATTGCTTGGAAGTTTCCTGGAACTCCTCTCCATAAGTTTCTTTGCTTCATTCACTCCTGTAGCTAATTGTTTCTTCTCTCTTTACTCTTCTAGTAATGACAACTGCTGTTCCCTTAGAAAAGGCAAAAATCAGTGTCGTAGGATGTGGCCTTGGCTGTAAGCGGTATTCTTGGTGGAGATTGTCCACTTTATGATGTATTACAAGCAGCCAGTGAGAGCTAATACGAGCAAAGGAAAGGTGCAGTCATGGCGAAATTGTCATTTACCATGGTCGATGACGTGGATCATATATCTGCTCTGGCAAATTCTTTTCCTTACAATTGTATGGGTGTTTACCATTCCCCACAAATTGATTCTGGGCAAGACAACAGACATAAAGCAGGCAGAGTCACAGATTTCCGTCAATGTGGATGCAAAAGAGGTTGGAAGGAAATGTCGACCATGCTGCAAGGTTCAGGAAGTGCTTGGCAAAAGCTTTTTGCATGAGCAAGCAGTGCGTCTGAAAGCTTGGGACTGGGTTGTGATCTGCTTATCACCCACACACAGAAAAGTTCAGCCACCAGCTTGCCGAGAATATCTTAGAATAAACACAAAACCTCACATAAAAAATCAACATCATAGTTGCAGTGCACCTGGACAGCTGTATCATTTGGAAATTGTCTGGACTGAGGTGTGGATGGCATCCGGGTGTCAGCATGCAAGGGGGTTGCCTCAAAAAAAAGTTCTCCTTTTCTTTTCTTTTTTCTCCCCCCTCAATTTCGTTACTTTTTTTTAAGATGACCCTTTACTAACAGTTGCTCGTCTAGCAATCTGCCCATCATTTTTCTTTACCAGACCTTCAATATTTCACAAGCTGTAACGAACCCACCTCCAGAAACTCACACGATCATTATCATGCCAAATACTGGCAATGCTCAATGGATGGCAACAGGCAGGGAGATAGAAATGTAGGAGAAAAGGAGAGAAAGAAGAAGAAGATCTCAAGATAATGTTTATCAGAACAATGTCTTGTCTCTCTTTTCCTCCTTCCACATGTGGGATCCTCTCCTTCCAATCCATGCAAATGATCTTCAACTGATGAAGCCTCTCTCTCTCTCTCTCTCTCTCTCTCTCTCTCTCTCTCTCTCTCTCTCTCTCTCTCTCTCTCTCTCTCTCTCTCTCGCTCTCTGTGTGTGTGTGTGTGTGTGTGTGTGTGTGTGTGTGTGTGTGTGTGTGTGTTTTGGGTGTGTTCTCATACGCACGCCATACCACGCTTTAACTGTGGATGGTTGAGCTTCGGTATAATGGCCGGCACACTACGGAATGCTAGCAGGTATGGTGAAGTCTGTCAACAATGGAACGAGTTATGCGGTGCCACTGGAGCCGAGGCGCTTTAGAGTGTGTCGTAGCCGTGTAAATGGAGCGGTTGCCATACAGTGTGAATGAAAAGTATGAGGAACATATAGGTTGGAGGGTAAGGGGGAGGTGGGAGGGCAGACAATACATAAGCACAGAGGACAAGGAAGGACGGATACAAACACACCCAACAGACGTACCAAAAAAAACACAAGTCCCAAGACAATCAAAGGACCGAAAAAAAAAAAAAAAAAAAAAAGCTGGTGATGAAAGATTGTTTCGTCGCAGTTGCACCGACTCATCAGGAGGCTGAACCCTCTACAATCTGCGGAATGCCCGTATTGATGGTTTGGGTCATGCACCCTTTGACCCTTGCTGAAGGCAGACTGTCCCCAAGTGGAACATAGCAGCGGGCAGCAACCCTGCGAAGCACCAGGCAACGCAGTAGAGGCAACATGGCTGCACAACACCAAAGACGACTGCAAGGAAAAACACGGCACGCAGGACTTGCAGCACGGCAACCAAGCAGTGAAGCACCAGGCAACACCACCAAGACAACCACACTGCAAGGGACGACAGGGCGAGCGGACACGGAGGAGAGCAACCATTGTTACATACTTCAATGAGTATGGGCAGAACCAAAGATCAACCAATGTAGGATGAGCATATATGCAGCGGAAGTCTGATAAACGGACTGACTCACATAGACTGACTCACATAGATATCACTCCACACACATACAATCGTGAGATGGTGGGGTCTGGGCCAAGCATAGACAATGCCCAGACCTCGTACACACATACACAGATGAGAGGTGGGAGGAGAGACGAAGGAGGTGGGAGATGTAGGTAGCACCACATGTCACCGAGATAGAAACCAGTAGGTCACCGATATGGTAATCCAAAATGTCATCGAACAAGATCAAAATGTCGAGGACAATGAGTCACCAATGTCGGAGATACAGAGTCCTAATGTAACCGGTGTCAAATCTGTGCTGCAGCCGAGTATCATCCCCAACAATCTCCAAGTCTCGAATCCGGTAAGTACCACAGCCTCTTACCACCGAAGTCCAACTCTGATCTCTGTCCAACTAGTATAAGTCTCCAATCTGAAGAAGAAGAAGAAAAAGAACAAGAAGAAGAAGAAGAAGAAGAAGAAGAAGAAGAAGAAGAAGAAGAAGTCTGAAGAGAAGAAGAAGAAGAAGAAGAAGAAGAAGAAGAAGAAGAAGAAGAAGAAGAAGAAGTCTGAAGAGAAGAAGAAGAAGAAGAAGAAGAAGAAGAAGGAGGGAGCCGAGGAGGAGAGAGAGAGAGAGGGGACTGGCGATGGGAGGGAGGAGAGAAACCTCTGACTCCTGATACCTCAGGCGGCTATGGCCGCCGATACGCTCAGTCGCCGTTGCTGCTGCTCCGCTCGCTGTTGCTGCGCTAATGCTGCGCTGCTCCTCGTGCTCCTGCGCTAAACATAGCGCCAGCGCGGATTCGCGCTGTACCATACCGCACCGTTAGAGTGCCGGTGGGTCGATAGCCTCAATGAGGCTGGACCGGTACTTTTGTACCGGTGGGGCAGAGGCCGGCCTCAATGCTGCGAGGCCTGGCCGTGCCCTGAACCGTCAAGATGGACGGTTCAGCCCCAACCAGCGGGCGACAGCCTCAAGAGCGCCGCCAGGCCCAAACGGTAATGTCGTTTGGGCCTGCCCGTCGGGTCTGGTCCAAGGTAAGGCATTTACGGCCTGTAGTACCCCCAAGGTCGGGCCTTTAGGCCCTACTGTGTCCTTCTAACCCTAAGTCGGGTCCGGTAGGACCCGTGTGGCGTCGAAGATGTAACACACTCCCCCTCTTAAAAGACCGAGCTACTTGCGAGGGCGGAGTTGTCTGTCCGATACCGGGATGGGTCGGGTGGGACGAGCTGCTGCCTTGGCAAGTCATGTCTTCTCATAGTTGGCGAAGATAAGGGGTGCAAAAGTCTGCAAGTCTGCACTAGAGATCCACCGAGTGTCGTCAGGTGCACATTCTTTGAATGTAACTTTGTACTGCATTAGCTTGTTGCCATACTTGCGGTGCGTGATGACTCGGTCAACTTCTTGATGTCCGTCCATAGAAGGCGGATCCTGTGATCGACGTCCGGGAAACTCATCAGCTGAAGGTGGCGTGTAGATGGCCAGCTTCGACGCGTGGAAGACCCGATGCACTGTAAGGTGCGGTGGAACGTTGATCACGAAGGAAGGACTTGCGGGGTCGTCTCCAACGGCAGAAGTGACTTCCCATGGTCCGAACCATTTCGGAAGGAGTTTGCGCGAAACGTCCTGCTCGAGCGCAAATTCCTCGGAGAGGACCCAAACAAGGTCTCCCTCGCGGAAAGGACATGGAAGTCGACGTCGGTTAGCCTGCTGCTGCATGCGGATCTGAGCCTTTTGCATATTTGCGCGGGCTTTGATCAGCAAGTCCCGGTACTTCCGAACGGAAGCGGGAGAGCAAGGGACGTCAATGTCGGCCGCCTGTGGCAAAAGGAGATCAGCGAAGATCCGTGCTTTCTCTCCACCATGATGTAGCTCGAATGGTGTGACGCAGATCGCCGGATGCACTGAAGTGTTATAGGCGAACTCGATGTCGGGAAACCGGTCAACCCAATCTTTCTGGTCGGGACGGATGAGCGTACGCAACATCATCTGAGCGGTATGGTGCGCTCGCTCCGTCTGGCCATCCGTCTGCGGGTGCCGAGCCGAGCTTGGCTTCATAGTCGTACCGGACTCAGCCATGGGGGAAAACCAAAAGGTTGACATGAAGCGAGTATCTCGGTCGCTCACTATGTCTTCCGGAACACCCTGGTTGGTAATCCAACCGGTGTGCAAGAGTCGTGCGAGCTCGGGTGCTGCAGCATGATACTTGCAAGGAAGGAAGTGAGCATACTTGCTCAAACGGTCAACGACCGTGAGAATACCGTCATGGCCGTGGCGATCGCGGGGGAACGGGCCTGTCACGTCCATAGCAATGGAGAGGCGCGGTGCCCGAGAAATCGGCAACGGTTTCAGTTCGCCGAAGGGGACTCGAGATCGACCCTTGTTACGGTGGTTAACTGCACATGACTCAACGTACCTCGTGACGTCATGAAGGACGTCGGGCCAGTGAAAATGCTGGCGGAGGCGTGCTAATGTGCGGTTCACGCCAAGGTGTGCCGAAAGTCGTGCGTCGTGGAATTCGCCGAGGAGACGAGTCCGTAAGATGCGATCTTGGGGCACAACTAACAAGTCCTTTCCTCTCGTGTGAAGGAGAAGGAACCCGTCGGAAATCCGATAATGGCTAGCCGGCGGGTGATCCGATGA